ACAAGTGAGAGGCTGCAGAAGTTTCCTTGTGCCTGAGCCTACTGAGACAAACAAAGGGATCCTAGAACAAGCCTGAAATCTCCCTGGAAGCCAAAATAATAAAAGCTGAGGCTGCTGTAATTTGGTTATGTCATGAAAAGAAATAACTCACTGGAAAAGACAATATAGCTATGAAAGGTGGAGGGATGTAGAAAGAGAGAAAGACCACAAGCTAAATGAATAGACTATTAAGGAGTTCATGGGCATGAATTTACAGGACCTAAGCAAAGCAGTGGAAGATAGGGAATCTTGGCAATGTCTCATCCATAGGGTTGTCATGAGTCAGGATCGGCTTGAAGGTAGTTAACAACAAACTGAGAAGTGTAAGAGTCTATCCACTCCTGTCCTCCACTACCATCCAAGTCAATTGAATGGATGCTACTTTCATACCCTGAACTCAGTTTGCAGCATCTATCAGCTGAGGAAAAGGGGAAAATGGGAGGAAGAGTAAAGAACTGGAACAGTTTAAGACCAGTTGGAAAATAATGGGATGGCAGAGGGATTAATCAATACAATCCCTCCCAATTGAGGGATATAGTACATTATTGTGTTCAACACTCAACAACAGCATTCCACAGAGGTGGCCTACAGCCCCTGACTTAACTTCCTGCTGTTACACATTGTTGAAGACTTGTAACACAGTGGGACTTGAGATAGTGTTCTGAACTACCTGCTCCTCCTCTCCATACTTTCAGGTTAATCTTAATCTGAATAGAGCTCTGGACATGTCTGAACTGAGATCAGGACTGAAAGAGGCACTGAAAATTTGTAAGACCAATATGGGTACAAATTTCCAGCTTTTCCTTCCTTCCTAGGCAGTTTATTTTTTATTATTGTTTTATATCTTTCATTTGCTTTCTTAAACACTTGGTACATATGATCCTTTAAGTGAATGCCTTTGTTCTGGTCTCAGACTGAAGCATCAGCATCATTATCATCGTGCTCCAGAAAAGTACACTGTGTGTCTTATAACTTTCCATTAGCACATCTACTGTCTGTTTTCACTTTCTTAGTATGTTCCATTATTTTATGGATATTAAGACGCCCATTTCTGGGAACTTATTTTCTGTTATGTTTGTAACTGTAAAATCATCCCCCCAGTGCAAAACTATCCCTGAAATATAACTGAAAGAAGCAGAAACTAGATGAGAAGATAACAGTAAGGCACACTTGTCATTATACTTGAGGAAGAGCAACCAGACATTTTCGAGGATGGAACCACTTCTGAAACAAGCATAAAGGAACTGATGATACTTATTCAGTACTGTAGACATCAAGTCTCCTCTTCCTGAAAATCTCATTCAAAAGTACAATATCTTCTGTACTTGATGAATATCAGAACTTGCTTTATGATCCCGCCAGAAACAGTTCCAGCCCAGTTTTACCCTGCATTCCATTTACTATAGTTTCGTAATTTGTAATCAGAAGTTAGAAACTATAGTAGCTTAACTGTAGCATAAAATAATTTTATAGGATTTCCCACTAAGCATTTCTATCCCTCTCAATTCATGTAACCATGACATTAACAATGGCTAAAAAAAAAAATAGTAATTGAAGTTTGCAAATAAAGTTACAAAACAGGTAAATGTCACTCCTTTATAGTCCATATATAACTAATTTTTTTTAAGGGGTGAGATCTGTGTAATAACATAAAGCTACTATGGACCAGACTATACACTGTCTGCCTCCTCAGATCAGGTGATAACCTTATATATCACAAACCAATGAAACATGCTCATCAGATTGGCCATCAATTAAAGCAATGTTTTAGGTGGCAGGTTAAAGCTGCTGGTTTTCTCCCATCTATAGGGAAAGAAAGACAAGAGTAAAGATCCAGCACTACTTGTGTATGACATAATGCTCCACATCTGCAGGTTTGCATCTGTCCTCCACCCACAGCCCTAGCAATTCTGAAGCCCCAAGGAGATACTGCTGTGGCTGACTACAGGGATGAAGGGGGAAGGTAACTCAGGCCATCCAAAAAAGTGGCCTGCTCAGGTGTGGGGGGGGGCATGAGATTGTTCTCCATCTAGTTGATGGTTGGATATATGTACATGTGTCATTTTAGGGTTGCCATAAGTCAGAAATGACTTGAAGGCACACAAGAACATATGTTCCCCAACTCTATCATAGGCCATATGTTCCCCAACCCTAAGATGGTCCAAAATAAAGGTGACAGGGAGGGTCTGGGGGCTATTTTTGATAAGGCAGTATTGTACAATTAATTCATTATATTTAAATCAAACATGCCAGGGAATGTGAGGAGATGCAAGGTTATCTGGTTAAAGTCTGTTGTAACCACTGGTAACTAAGCAAAATAACATGAAAAGCAGAACAAAAGATGACAAGGTTTGTGAGTTCAGTCCTCTTATTAAAAGCATCTCTCTTCAGTTACAGTGGCAATATTTTTAGTCAAGCCACTTGCCTGCTTCACAAATTTATTGCTGTACTTCCAGGTAAAATTGTTGCTCCCTGGCTGGAAGCTAATTAAATTGCTTGGATCCACACAGCAATGTCCTTTTTTATTATTATTTCTGTTTTCAATCTGGTCTTACTTAGGCAATCACTTGCTGAACTTTTCAGCTAAGCTTTGGTTGACTCAGCACCAAACAAGGGACCCTGCATCCAGCATAACAAAATAAATCATAATGGTCCTCTCATTTTCCAAGACTTTGGGGAGGAGAAATATTAACAGTCTTCCTGGATGTATACATGAATAGATGCTCCAGAAAGTAGCCCTTCATATAAAACACAACTTTCAAAATGGAGCTTATCTCTCTAGAGCAATTTATCAGCATGAAAGGGCTGTTAAACACATTGCAGTGAACATAATCATTTGTCCATCACCTAATTATAGCCCAGACCTGCATTCATATGTTCTGAAAATTACTGCCGACATGCTTTGGGATCTGATTTGTGATCAGTGAATTTGAGTGCCCCTTTTAAAAAGGGGATGAATTTATTTCTCAAGAAAATATCTCCCAACTTTATTGCCATAACTATAGCTACTCTACAAAAAATATCCCTCTATGTGAAGAGCTTTATATATGGCCCTCTTCATGTCAGCTAGCTGGACCAGCTAGTGGCTTCCACATCTGTGGGGTAGCAAAGCTGCTCCAAGCTTTAAAGGAGCTGCCCAAGGTGCTGAACTCAAGCTTCAAAATAGTTTGAGCACTTTGGATAGGAAGCAGGCTTGGGTAACTTAAAAGCCAGGATTTCAGACTATGTATAACCGTTCCAAACCCAGAACTCTAGACAGCAGATTCCAAATTAGTTTATTTATACCAACAATGGGAAATCAGCTTTCACTCAAAGACACTCACACATGCACACAAGAACTAACAGTGTCAAAGGTGGTAGCTAATAACAATTTCAGAGGGTTTTAGCAGTGAGTGATACATTACCAAAGTCAGGCACAGTGCTCTGTACAATGGATGATTCTGGCTTAGCATGCAGCAGGGACCTTGTGCCAAGGAGTCAAGGGAGAAATGGACAAGGTGTCTGTCTGTGTTCAGTTGAGACTGAATTGAGGTTGTCCCAAACAGGCATATTTATAGGCAGAATTAGGGCCTGAGGCAGTTTCTCAGGAGTTGAAAGGATTGTTTCAGGAGGAGGAATGGCCATAGGTTTGGGGAAAATGGCAGGGCAATAAATCTAGATGTCTCACACAAAAAGATGTCATCTCTAAAGGGAAGAGCCCTTTTATTCCCAACCTTTTGGCAAGTATCTGGTGCATTACCCTCTATCACACATCTGTGTGAAAGGATTATGCAGATTCCAGCCTCAAAGGACCTATCATGTCTATGTGTGTTAGTGCTTCCAAGTCTGCCAGATCTTATTTGGGCAGACCATTGTCCTTTCATTGGGGCACCTACAGTGGCTATGTCACCAAACATCCCACTGAATATCAAGTTGATATTAAAAGTTGACTAGGGGTGAAGGAGGGTTGTTCTGTGTGGTAACAATAGCTCCTGAAAAGTTCACTGTACCATTGTTATGGATGGCACCAGCTTCCACTGATTCAGATCAAAGACATTTGGCTGCCTATAGTGGGTCTTTAAAAGCACTTATCTTAAATAAAACTCAAATATTTATTCATAAACCAGTCTAAGGGTTCATCAAGATGGGAAAGTCTCTGGTAGTATCAAGAGTTTCCAGTTCTTTTGATTACCTGCCTATTCCCAGGTTTGTATTCAAATTCTTTCTTGAAATATTCCAGGTTTCCCTCATTTTCCTCTCCTTATTCCCCCTCCCTGTGATCATGTGTCACATCTACACTAATTTATTTGATATTTATTTTATTCATTTACACTCATTCCTACACATTCACTGGGGTTAGGGGCACAGGACCCCTGTGGATGTGGTAAAATCATAAATAACAAAAACACCGTTTTTACCAGAGAGGACACCTCTCTAGGAATCTCTAGATCCTCCAGTGCAACTCTGTGTCAACATGTGCCAGACATTGACCATAGAATTGCATTGGAGGATCTACAAATGCCTAGTGGGGTGTTCTCTCTAGGTCCTTCAGTGTGACTTTTGGTTAAAGTTGACCATAAAGTTGCACTGGAAGACCTAGATATTCCTAGAGAGAACACATTAATAAAATCCATGAATAATCATATCTGCAAAAGTCAAAGCCACAAATGTGGAGGGACAAGTGTATATCCTGCCTTTCTCCTGATATTGGGACTCAAGGTGGCTAACACATTTAAAACAATGAAATATTTTTAAAAAATACAAAAGCATTAATAAAAGTATAAATGTAAGATTTTAAAAACAATTAAACAATTTGAAATTAAAACAATGAAAATTAAAAATATTAAAATGCATTAAAATTATATTGCTCTTGTGTGCCTTCAAGTCATTTCTGATTTATGGTGACCTTGAAGCAAACCTATAATGGAGTTTTCTGGGGCTGAGAGTGTGTGACTCACCCAAGGACACCCAGTGGGTTTTTATGGCCAAGTGGGGAATCGAACCCTAATCTCCAGAGAAGTAGTCTAGTGCTTAAACCACTATACCACATTGGCTTTATCAGCCTTAAAACAGAACTGCCCAGCATTAAAAACCCAGTCCTAGTTAATTTGTAAAAGCCTGATGGTACAGAAATATTTTGACTTGCATTGAAAAGAGAGCAGGGATGGGGCCATCCTGACCTCTCTAAGGAGGGCATTCTAAAGACTTATGCCACATTTCAGAAACTGATTTTCATCCATTTCTACTGCACCATCATTATTATTCAGGAGTTACAGCCAAAGTGTTTAAAGTACTATAGGAATATTTCACTAGTAATAACTAAGGTTCATTTTATTTTGGTGCAAACATTCCTTTTTCTATCACTTGATCTCTGTCGAATCTGTGTCCTGGAAACAATAGCTATGTTTACTGGTGGCAGCCATCTAAGATATACAGCCAAGTAGAGATCAAATTGTTGGAATATGGATGGGTTATACAGTCAAAGGTGAAATGTAGAGATGTGTGTGTGGAATTTTCCTCATGGGAACAACATTTAGAGAAACAAAGAGAACTCAGCCTAGATGGCCAAGAAGTCATAACAATTATAGTTTTAGCTGGTGGGGAAATAGTCAGTGTATCAACATCTCAGCCCATGTGACTGCAGGACGCAGTTTCCTTTCAGAAAATTCCTACTAACTTCCTTTGTACTAACCCTGGAAGTAGGAATAAAAAGTCCTTGACAATCCCTGGAGTTCCCAGGAAATACTTTCAGATGAAGAAAGCATCATGTGAATCGCCAAAATAAAATTGGTTTGTACAGGAACAAAAATTTGGACTACCAGAGACTTTTGTCTGAAGGAGCTATGTGAAATGCTGTCCCACAAAGAAATAAACAAATGACAATGTGGGGGGGATTTGGGTGCCATAAAAATTTTGTGGGGGACACACTGGCCTGCAGGCTACATGCTTGCCACTCCTGAAACAGGGAGAGGTACCCATGCATATATTTTGGCTTTACTACCTAGATACTTAGAATCTCAGCCTTCTTTACAGAATATGTATCCTAGTAGTTGATGTATAGTGAAGAATTGAGTATTTACTGGTGAGTCAGTTCATAGGTAAACCCCGATGATTTGGTGGTTTTGCCTTTACTGGGACTAGCCATTGAATTTAGGCCCATATCCACTGGGTGCTACTATTTTCTTAAATGCTATTCAGGATCTGACCAAAACTTATCACAATAGCAAATATTAATATTTCCCATTCATGCCTGCCTTTTTGTTTCTCTCCTCTCAAGGTTTTCAGATAGCCATGATTCCCAAGTATTCTTTGATGGGACCTTTCAGAGGGCACATGAGTATCAAAAGTAGCCGTAAGTATTAAAACATCTTCAGCAAGGGCTATGCATTCTACTTTTATTTTTAAAATACAGTTGAAATGTGTGCAAGGACTACAGAATTGTGAAGTCAAAGGCTTTCACAGCTGGCATCCAGAGTTTTCTGTGGGTTTTCCAGGCTACTTGGTCACATTCTAGAAGATGCCAGCCACAGATGCAGACAAAATATCAGGAATAAATTCTTCCCGAAAACAGCCACATAGCCCAGAAAACCCACAGAAAACTATGAGTACAGAATTGCTGGTGTAATTTGTCAAAAATGACTCTGTGATCAGGTGGCCAGCATGATTGCACAGAACACCATTACCTTCCCACCGAAGTGGTATCAATTTATCTTGCTTTTGAACTGCTAGGTTGGCAGAAGCTGGGACTAGTGATGGGAGCTTACTCTGTCACACGGCACTTGGGCCTCAAACTCCCAACCTGCTGATCTTGCAATCGTTAGAGTCAGTGTCTTAACCGTTAGGCCACTGCAGCCCCACTGTACACCTTTAGTGTAGTGTAAATATGCTCTAGCATAGTTACACTGGAACCCACTGCATAACAGGTGCCAAGGGTTTAAGTTCATCTGTTGTGCCAAAATCAGATAGTGACAGTGAGAGAAGGGGGGCTTTGTATATATGCAGTTATTGGGGGGACCACAGCCACATAATCTCTGAAAAGCTCAACATTAATGAAAGTATTTTTTTTTTCTAATAACAGAATGAGAACTTGTCTTGATTCCACCTCCCCACTGAACCAAATAAAGAACTGGTGGCATTTTTGTAGCTAGCTACAAGCATGAGAAGAATAAAGAATAAAGTGATCTCCCTGGTGCTTTTGAACTCATTCATTTTTACTCACCAGCCAAATGGTAGAGGGATATTTTATTGCTCTACATGCCATGCACTATTATTGCTTCTTTCATATTTATGACAGAAAATTTGCAACTTTAGATATGATTTATTCAAAACATAATAAACTGAATTTAACTATTTCACTTTAGATTGCAGATGTAAGAGTAAACTAGTAATTAGAAAGTTGCAGTTGTAATAGCACAATTTTCTGAGATAGCTATTGATATATTTTACTGCTGGTAGTTTATTATTCTCTCTGCTCTTAAAAGCTGATTTTATCAGTGTGGTCCATTTCAAAGAGAAGAAAAGAAATACTTTGTAGGAAATAATAACATAGTATCTGTTACTGAGAAAGCAGGCATAGAAGAGACTACAGCATAGCGGAGTATTACATGCATATAAATTCCCACCCCATTCAATTGCCAACCTCAGGTTTCCAGAGGTAAAAGCAGAGATAGATATCTTTGAAAATACTGGAAAGCTGCTTCCTTTCAGGGCTGATAGTACTGAATTAATGGACCATTGGACTGGTTCAGTAGTTTAGGGATGGAATAAATCTGTCAATTTATTTGTCATGGTTTTAATGTGAAGTGTGGTTCATCTTTCATGTTGAGATTTTTTTTTTTTTTGGTAGTCTTAAATTTGTTTATCCTGAGTTCTCATTTAAGTTTGCATGAAAATGTGTACGCTTTGTCTTTGAACTTCTTGTAATGCATGTGTTTCTACATTTTACCTAATGTATGTCTATTTAAAAGCAATTTTCCTAATACAATGCATTAAAGATTATTTTTAATAGTCTCACATTCACATGAGTTAGGCACCCCTTTCTCTTAACTTCAATTGCCCTTCTGTATCCCTCTGCTTTCTCTTCTTTTCATTCTTTCTCACTGGCCTTTCTCTCTTCTTATCTTCCTTCCCCTTTAATTTTCTCTCCCTGAATTGATTGAAGGGTTTGGGGGCCCTGCAGAGGATAGCAAACCTGGAGCTGCCCAGAGGACCTTTGATAGGGAAGTTCTGGCAACTAGTGGCTGAAGATGGTATTGTAGGATGCAGACAGATCTTAATTATCTAACATAACCATGAGATGTATACCACCAGCATCCTCCTTTGTGTTAATGTTCATTCCAAGTTTAAGATTTCTAGGATTCATTAGTCTTGGACCTATGGTAGGGGAAGCAAACACATGACATCCTTTTTTAATTGTGGCACCTTTATATGCACTGTTACATCTTATACATGTATTTAAATTCAGTAACTCTATTGAAAAAAAAATATCAAAAGTGCAAATTTCAAAGATCTTTTGTTTGGGTTTGTATATTGCTTCAAAATCAAAACTTTTGAAAGAATACCAGGACTCATACTTTATTTGTGTTGGGCATTCTATAGTAAGAGCTAAATTAATTGCAGTCATTCAGGCCTAAATCCAATTATTCTCCCAAGTAGAAAACATCACTGAATCAATGGGAACTTAATATGGCAACATTTATGTAAATTTTATTTTATTACAATGACCAATGCAGAGGAATAGAAGACAACAACCAAAAAGGAAGAACAAGAGATCTATTTCACAAGATCCAATAAATCAAAGGAAAATTCAAACCAAGGACTGGGACAATCTATGACAATAAAAATAACATAATTCAAGACCAAGAAGGGATAAAAATACATTGGATGTAGTACACGGAAGAATTATACTGAGATGACAAAATGAAGGACACATGGAATGACGAGCCATATGAAGATGAACCCCAAATCCTAAAAAGTGAAATTGCAGTAAGAGAAATAGTGAAAAACAAATCACCAGGAACAGATGATATTCCAGTTGAACTGCTGTCATTGTCAGGTTAAGTAATGGGTTCTGTAAAGGTGAAACCTGTGTCAGCTCCCTTACCACCCTAAACATCTCTGCTGGATGGCACTCTGCAGACGTAATACATACAGAAGAGAAAGATTTCTGTGCTGCATTCATTCCCTCTTCATAGGAACAAAGAAATTTTCTATGTCGAGACTTGTTAGATAAGAGTCGAGTTTTCTGCCAGATGCACTCTAGTTGTCATCCAACTTGCTTCATCTTCCTAAGCACTTCTGTGTACCATGGTTTACATTTGTGGAACATCACTGTGTGATGTGAAAGAGCCCATGACCAACAATCTTCCTCACCTATTTCTCCTGGATAATAGCCTTAAATACTCTCTGAAGACAGAAACATTACTGAGAACAGGTTGGTTCATGATCTCATCTCAGTAGTGTATGATGTTTTAAAACAGTGGTCTAAATCCAATTGTTAGTTCCAACTGAATCAATAGAACTTATATAAATGTTGATTTACTAAATTCTCATTGATTCATGAGTCAGATCCAGCTGCGATTAACCAATAGATTTAGGCCCAGGGCTATAAACCTGTTCATACATACTTGGGGATAGCTCTGATTAAAGCAATGGGATCATGTACAAGTAATCATGCATTCAATTAGACTATAAGTAATTTAAAAAGTTGTTTGATAGTAGGTTTGCTTTGCATTATCACAAAAAGGATAATGGACATTAATCCCATTTTGCAGAAAAGCAGTAAAACAGTCAGGTTTACAGCTAGTTGTAGGCTTATAAATGAAACACAAATCAAAGTGCCCCACTCAATAATCTGGGTCCATGAATCCAGAAAGGCCTTTCATTTTCAGCTTCACTGTTTTTTTCTAACTCTTAAATTTAGTTCAGCAGGGTGGCACTGCAGTGAACCCAGAAGCTGAAGTGAACAGGGAAATTCAGAAAAATTACTTTAATAGACCTTTTGACACATTGGCTTCAAGCTGTGGAACAGGTCAGTTTGAACCACATTGTTCCT